AGATATTATCTGTATGGGATATAATCTGTATGGAATATATAAAGATAGATAGAGATATAATAGAGATTATAGATTATAATAGAGATTATAGAGGTATAATCTGTGTGGGACATACTTAATGTTAAGCTGGTGAATCTAACTTTTAATTTAAGAGTTAAAATTATGTGTGTATTTTACACTTAAAAGTAAAAGACTTCTTGATTTTCTAGGGTTTTGGGGTTTTCTCTAACTTCTAGAGTAGTAAAATGAAACATAACTTACAACAGCCTTGAAAATTTGCTACAAATACACACTGTGGAAGGATTTTAAAATCGTCTTTCCATAGGCCATCATCCCCAGTAATTGGAGTTTTAGCTTATATAAAGGCTAAAGTTAGAGAAGGGAGTATATTTATCCCTTCTCTGATTTCTTCAATATTTTTGTAAATATGTAAACAGATATATCTAAAGGTGCTGAAACAAAAAGAATTTCTCCCCAGTATCTATATATATCTCACGCAAACACAAAAATCTTTTTTAGGAAATCAGCATATTTAAAATTATTAGAATGGGGCCAGGCGTGGTGGTTCACACCTGTAATCCTAGCACTTTGGGAGGCGAGGCAGGAGGATTGCTTGAGGTCAGGAGTTGGAGACAAGCCTGAGCAAGAGCGAGACCCTGTCTCTACTAAAAATAGAAAAAATCAGCCAGGTGCGGTGGTACACGCCTGTAATTCCAGCTACTCTGGAGGCTGAGGCAGGAGGATCACTTGAGCCCAGGAGTTTGAGGTTGCTGTGAGCTAGGCAGACGCCACAGCACTTCAGCTGGGGCAACAGAGCAAGACTCTGTCTCAAAAAAAAAAAAAAATTAGAATGGGAGACTTTTTCTAGGCATTTAAACTTACACAATATTCAGCTTTTTAGCTAAAAAGAATTCATGTTAAAAGTCACTTAGGAGAAGGAAGAATAACTTTTCAATGCTATTTTAAACTTTTTTACATTGTTAAATACTATATACATAGATTTAAACAGAGATACCTCCCCTAAGAGTTATTTGTAATACAAAATTATACCAATAGAAATAAACAGAAAATATTAACAAATGACCTGCAACATTTTGATAAAAGATTTAAGAATAATCATTTCTATTTTATAAAAATGATTTTAAGGTTTTTGAGGAAAGAAACATTATCTCATGCTTTTAAATCTCACAGCGTCTGGCACAGAGGTTTATACATACCTGCTTCACAAATAGCTTAGTCAACAATTTTTAAGTGTCTTCTCATTTTAATGGACTTAGGGTGTTTTAGAATTGCTAAAGTTTATATTTAGACTGGGTATGATTGAGCAAAACATTAAAAAA